CTTCAGCTCTGCTTGGTTCTTTCTTAGATTTTCTATCTGTTGAAGTTCTCACTAGGTTCACCCTCTCTTGTTTCAAGTCTGGTGAGCTTCTTGTTGACTTTGAACTATTTATCAGGTACATTGTTTATCTTGTTCTTTCACTTGGAGTATATTCCTCTGCCTCCTTATTTTGTTTTATGTATTTGAGTCTGTGAATTAGGCAGAACAGCTACTTTTCCTCATCTTGAAGGACTGGTCTTGTGTAGGACTGTCCCGTATAGACTGTGTATGCCTGCTGGCTTTGGCTGGCTGGAGTGGGGTCTCTGGGTGTCCCACACAGGGCGTACCCTAGTGGGACATCTGAAGCTGAAGTGGGCAGGGGCTAGGGGTGTATTGGGGCACTCTACATGGGGATTGCCCTGATGGACCAGCTGGAGTCGAAGTGGGCTCAGGCTGGTGGTCCTAGGGCGCTCTACACAGTGGGGACCTTGGTAGGAGAATTGAGCTAAAGTTGCTGTGTGCTAGGGGTGTGGGGCTCCCTAAAGTGCTGGCCAGTTCTACCCTGTTCCAGTCTGAGTGATCAGGCGAGTTGGGGGCCATAAACAGGGTGCTCACCAGCCCCTTTGGCCCCGGAATGTGTTCCCAGAGGCCTTGGCCATTTGGCAGAGGGTCAGTTTTCTTTTTATATCCTCGTTGTCTTTTAAACCTCTGCTTTTTTGTGTGTGCCTCAGTGGGGCTTGGGCTGATGTGGGCTAGGGTCCCAGGGTTTAGTGAAGGGCTGGGCCAGCTAAGGTGGCCGTGTCCCACTCCCATCTGTGTGTCAGTGTTGGCCTTGGGGGAGGGAGGGAACATATACAGTGGCACTTGCCAGCCCTCTGACCACTGGAGACCAGTTCCTCGGGTCCCAGCTGTTTGGCAGACGCTCAAGGTCTGGTGCCTTTGAATTCTAGTTGCCCTTTGAAACTGAAGCTGTTTTCCATGCCCTAGAGTGGTCGAATCTGTTCCTGGTTCCTTGGTTCTGTTCCTCCCCTCTGCAGTTGGCAGTGTTGGGGTGAGGTTCCTGTTGTTACTATGTCTCCATCTCTTCTGTTCTCTTTGTGGTCCCTCTGTCCTTTGTTGTGCAGAAGCTGTTCAGTCAGCCCTCAGTTCTTTTTTCCAGAGGAATTACTCTACATGTTGGTGTAGATTTGGTTTGTCCATGGAGGGGAATTCAGGCTCTTCCTCCATTACCATCTTGGACCCTATCTCCTGAAAGCATCAATTTTGATTGCCGGGATTATTATAACTTGCTCTCCTAAGTCACTGTTTGTATCAGAAAACATTCTAAAGGGTGGTCTGTATTGTCAGAGTGCAGCAAATAAGTGAACTGAAATAATGATTATATCATATTATCAAAGTCTCTGGTTTTGCAAAAATATTATGCAGTTAGCCAGTTCTGCTTAAGTTGTTTGGCTGATGGCATGGTTTTCTCCTGTATTTGTCAGTGGGTCACTTCTAAATGTTTAAGCTATGGAGGGTTATTTCATGGAATCTTACTCTGAATATCAGACATTAAATGAAGTACATTTGAAAAAGGATTTGTTGAACTTTCGGTGCCTTTTAGCTGAGACACACATAGGTTTTATTGAACAGGTATGCAGTCTCACTTCTGGGTTTGGTTTAACGACGGTAGTGTACTGAGTATAAGTGTTTAATTCCAGCATTTGGTTTCTCCATTTTCTCATAGATCCAGGCTTTTATATGGTTGGCATGCCAGATGAGGGGAGTGGATGTGTCAGGTGAGCTCATAAAAGGCCAGTGGTTGAGTAGGGGCCGTGGCCATTGTGTATCAGAGAAAACACTGTGGAAATTTTAGTCACAGGGAGGGCTAGGTTCAAATGCCAGCTCATTTACTGTAACTCTTAGTCCCAGTCCCTTTTGTAAAATGGAGTTAGTTATCTAATTTGTAAGGTATTTGAAAAGATTGTGGTGTGAAAAGTACCTGGCATATAGGAAATGCTCAATAAATAGTGGCTATTAATATTTCAACAAAGTCCTGAGACTGTAACCTCTGATGCCAATGTGTTGTTTCCATTTGTAACTCCTTACGAGTTTTGTATGTGCTTGGTAGTCAGTAAATGCTGTGTGTCAGTAATTTGGAATTCCAAAATCTGGCTTAAAAAGACTACTACTAAGAGAAGTTACATATTCATTATAAAAAACATGGCATATGAAACAATTTCAGTAAATAAAGCTTTCAAAGGAATAGGTTGTAGCAGGCATTCTACCGTGAATGCACTGACTCTGGAGGGCCACAGAAACCAAGTCATTCCAGAGTTTAGCAGCTTTAGTGTGAGTCCATATTACGGTTTCAGTTAAATAGAAAAGGACTCGGGGGGCGCCTGGGTGGTTCAGTTGGTTAGGTGTTCAATTCCTGATCTCAGCTCAGGTCTTGATTGAAGGATTGTGAGTTTAAGCCCCACATTGGGCTCCATGCTGGATGTGGAGCCTGCTTATTTAAAAAGAAAGGAAATGACTGACATGGTATATTTCTCAAAAGCTACATTGTGTTGCATTGTGTTGTGAATTGTGTTAGAAATGATGACATGTGGTTGCTGTCATCCTAGAGGTGCCACAGGAACCAGCAGGAGGAGATGTCTGGGGCAGGTGGGATCATTGATTCCTGGTACCAAATGCATAGGCATGGCGGTCAGGAGCAGCATACTGGGTCTGGTAGCGCGGGGTGACACTCACCAGCTCAGGAAGATAGGTGACTGTAGAATTTGGCCTTCAGTGCAGTTCAGAAATAAGAATTGTACTTCACCGCATAGCTTGCATGTGCTGGTTGGGGAGTGGAAGGGAAGTGGAGAAATTGGAGGCTTTGGGGTAAGGAAATAGCAGATTCACACTGGAAGGAAAATCCTTTCTGTGGCTGCGAAGGAGCTGAAGAAGAGTGGCAAGCTGGATACAACTGTGGGGGTCTGCACAAGAGTCGAGCAGGCCCAGACAGTGCGGTGAACTCGGAAAGAGAGGAGAGAGATGGATCGGAGAGCATCCTGTGGTAATTGGGTATGACGAAGGTAGGGAAGAGTGGCAGGTGCAGATGAAGCACTCCATGTTAGACGTGCTGAGTTCTGGGGGTTTGAGGATTTAGTGGAAATAAAGGTACGGCAGACAGTGGGGTAGAGGACTCTGAACCTACTACAGTCTGGGCCAAGAGGAGCACATGACTGGCATCATTAATGTGGAGGTGGGAGCTGAAAACCACAGATGTCTTGAGCTCTCCCAGAAGGAATGTCTGTGTTCCTGAGGGAAGACTTAGACTGAGGACAGAAGTGCCCATGTGAGGGATAGGCTGGGGGGGCGGGGGGGGGCAGCACGAAATGGGAGCTCTTGGGTAGTGAGCTAAATGCTTGTTCTGTTCTTTCAGTGGCACATGTTCTTGGCTAAAATGGAAGATGTTTTGGTAACTTAAGAGTTTGTTCAAACAAAGCTATATTATTTTGATATTTTCAGGTAACTGTGTACAGGACTGTCTTATTAGTACTGTACTATGTTCTACCCCTTGCTTATTTTTCTATTTCCACTGTAGGCATAGCATTTTTTTTTTTTAAGATTTTATTTACTTATTTGACAGAGAGAGAGAGAGACAGCGAGAGCAGGAATGTGAGCAGGGGGAGTGGGAGAGGGAGAAGCAGGCTTCCCGCCGAGGACGGAGCCCGATGTGGGGCTCGATCCCAGGATCCTGGGATCATGACCTGAGCCGAAGGCAGACGCTTAATGACTGAGACACTCAGGTGCCCCTAGGCATAGCATTTTAACTGTACCCTTGAAATGAAATCACACACATAAAAGTGAATTTCTGCAGTTGTGTTTATAATACGAATGATCCTTTTTATTTCCCTTTGAAGATCTAGTTTTCTGTCACATGGGTATTTTACTTTTCATTCACCCATCATTTAACTGAACTCATAGGCCATGCTGTAGAACACTGACAGAGGCTTGAAGAATTGTTTTTATGGTTAGATAGGTCACTGGCGCTCTTCCCTTACTGGTTCCTCCTGATTCCTTGATCTTTTAATGGAGAGGTGACCTATTAGGTGTTAGGCCTTGGACCTATTCTGTATCTAGATTCATTCTTTGGGGGTGCGGGGTCTTACTCAGGCCCATGGCCTTAACTATCATCTATGCATGGATGGGTTTATATCTCCATTTTCGACCTCTCCTCTGAATTCCAGACTTTATATACTCCTTACTCCATGTTAACGGGCATCTTCAGCATGATAGGTCCAAATCCAGGCTTCTGCACCGCCCCAAACCGCTCTTCCTGCAGCCGGGCCCACGGTAGCTCCTGGCAGCTCAGTCTTCCGTTGGTTTCAGGCAGAAATCTCTCAGTCCTTCTTGACTATTCATTTCCCCCACGCCAGCACGTCTGCTGCCACCACCCCTGCTCACCTCCTCCTCCCAGTGGCCTCCCCACTGGTGTCTCCGTTGCCCCGCTTGTCCCTGTAGTCTGTTCTCAGATCAGCAGTCACCGTAGTGAGTCGGACACCCTCTGGGAACTCCAGTGACTCCTAATTTTACCAAGAATAAAAGTCCAAAGGTCTTACAATGGCCACAGGCTCCAGCCTCGTTTCCTGCTACTTTTCTCACTTGTTCCAGGCACACTGGTCTCCTCACCCAGCCCTGCAACAGGCCCGGCCCCCTGCCACCTCCTCTGTACTCATCCACCCCCTCCACTCCTGGATCCGGACTCCACTCTGCCTGAATGCTCTGCCCCACCTCATTCCCATCCCCGCCCTTGGGTCTTGACCCAGACATTTCCTTCGTAGGACTATCCTACTGAACACTGCATTTCAACTTGGTATTTTTTCTGCCCTTCTTACTGCTTAATTTTTCTCCATAATGCCATCTGACGACTCCAGCTAGATCGAAGGCAGAGATCTGTTTTGTTCACCGCTTGGTACACAGAAGGTAGTCAGTAAATATTTATGGACTTAACTTTATTGTATTATGAAAGAAATTTTAACTTTGCTCTTCAGGTTTATCTCTAACAAGTATTTAGTGAAACGGCAAAGCAGAGACTATGATGTGGAGTGGGGCTATGCCTTCGATGTGCATCTGAATGCTTTTTATCCTCTCTTAGTCATTCTGCATTTTATCCAGCTTTTCTTCATTAACCGTAAGTAGCAGTTACTTCTTTAACATCATCAAAAAGTCACCATTGTATGCACTAAAAAGAGATTCAGTGTACACATCTCTTCCGCAGATGTTATCCTGACAGACACATTTATTGGATATTTTGTTGGAAATACCTTGTGGTTGGTGGCAGTGGGCTATTATATCTACGTAACCTTCTTAGGATACAGTGGTAAGTCATGAATTGTTTTGATTGAGTGAAGACATAACAGGGAGAGGGAGGGAAGTTGCTGTAATAGTAACATAATTAGCTTGCTTTTAGATGAATTACCTCATTTAAGCTTCACAATTAGGTTTACTTAACCCCATTTTTCGGATGAGGGCACAGAAATTAATTTGCCCACGGTCGTGCAGCTAGAAAGTGGCATGGCTGGTATGTAACAAATTTTGTAATTTTAAGGAGCCACATTAAACCATACTGATATCTCCAAGTTACTTGCAGGAACCCACAACCCACTTCCTTTTCTCCCTGGCTTTCTGGTTCTGGGTCCCAGTGGCCGGTTAGTGTGGGGCATGAGCCGGGTCCGGCGTATGGTCGCATAGGTAAAGGAACCTTTACAAACCTTTGTCAAGGTGTTAAAACCTTTGCTTCACTTTGTTTTTATGATCACTGTGTGGTTCTATAGATGGGCACAAATCAGGCCCAACCTCTACTGATCTGAGGATGTAGTTTGCAGATTTACTGCTTTCTTTTTCTTAGTATGAATGAGAAACCTTTATATTAATTCAGCTCGTCCTTTCTTGTCACTCTGGATGATTAGTACTTCCCTGTAAATACACACCCCTGGTGCTCAAATAGGACTGGCTCCTCTAGTCAGAGGTGTTCTCACCCCACCAGGGACCACACTTGTTCTGGACACGGGGAGTCCGTTCTCCAGAGGAGGTGTTTGTGACATACTATGTTCAGGTTTCTATGAATTTTCACATATTTTGAGAAAGTTTTAAATTGTGATTAGCATATTACAACATCGTGGTTTCTCTAAATGGATTTTTGATCACTCTTGGTAACTCCCTATAATTTGAGTACAGCTCAGCTTCACTTTGGTGACTTCCTAGAAGAGAAATGTTTAGGTTAGAATGCATGTGGTAGGGATCCACTAAGTAGTGACCAAGAAGGAAACTTAGATATTTGGAGACAGGTTTTTTTTTATTATTTTTTAAATTTATTTAAAGTAGGCTCCACAGCCAGTGTGGGGCTTGAACTCACGACCCCCAAGCTCAAGAGTTGCATGCTCTACTGATGGAGCCAAGCAGGCACTCGAGGGACAGATTTGTTCTTTCCTGAAGCCTGGGATACTTACTAGTTGATCTCTAATGTGAAGGGGAGGTGTCATGCTTCCTGTATTGGGAAATCTCAAAGAGCTAAAGGTTGGACTCCTAGAGGCTTCTGAAGCAGTCCCCTGTGTAAATCCACCACTGTTTTCAGTATTTGTGCCCTCTGTCCCTTACTCGTCACTTCTCAAGTTCCGAAGCTGCTGCTCACCTCTCACCCCGGGTTCCCGGGCACAGCTGCGACGCGGTGGCGGCAGCAACACCCAAGAGCAGGGCACGTGCCAGACTCTGGCTTTAGAGCAGTAGCTTGCCGATTCAGAACCCACACTGCTTTTTGGCCCCACCTGTTGTAGTAAAAACTTTCAGAAAGTTCATTAGTCACATTTCCTTTTTTAAAAAAATTTATTTGTTTCTTTTCCAGCATTGCCATTTTTGAAAAATACAGTAATTCTTCTTTACCCATTTGCACCTCTCATTCTGCTCTACGGCCTGTCACTAGCGCTAGGATGGAACTTCACCCACACACTGTGTTCCTTCTACAAGTACAGAGTGAAATGAAGGCAGTGTTGGTGAAGTGACGACTGCTTCCAAAACTGGTAAATAAACTATCTTTGTAGATATCTTCAGGGTGTAAAGTTTGCAAATTTGAGTAAAGATGTAATGTTAACGCTATTGTCAAGTACATTCCGTAAAACTAATTAAATGTACATTTCTATAATAAATATTTTTTAAACTAAAGCATGTATTTCACTCATTCAAACATGATGATAATCAGTTCCTGACAAGGTACGTAGTTTGGCCCCATTTCTAATGGGCCGTGTATTTTAAACATTTGCCTAGTATAACCTTCAGAAGCCTCCTTGATCTATAATGTAACTCAAAGGCAAATCACTGTACTATAGGCCATAAAATCACTTACAACATTTTCTATACAAAGGAAACCCCCAAACAAAATATATTCGATTGAAGAGGCGCAGGGTGGCTCCTCGGTGTACGTAACAGACATTGAACACTTGCATAACAAACAAACACTGATAATCGGTGTCTTAACATGAAGGCTCTCTCTCTTTGAAGACCTCTCTAAAACGCACATAACTAAGAAGAGTTTTAAGTAAACTGTCAGTGTTGAAACTAATAACAAACTTGCTACTCATTAAGTTTTACCTATTTTTATTAGAAGGAATCTTCACTTCAACATGGCTTCTTAAACGTCTTTATTCCAAACACATACACGGTTGTGGCACAGAGAAAACAGTAATGAAAGGCACAGTCACCAGGACCAGTTACTGGGTTTTCAATTATAGCAGCGTATTGAAAATAAATAATCTTCCTTTAAAAACCTTAACAGGTACCTAAAATATTACTACAGATATTACCTATTCACTCAGTGAAAACATTTTAAGGAAAATATGTACAATACATTTAAGGAGAAAAAAAAATCTGGTACGGCCTGGAAAAGCAATTCCTCAGGCACCTTCTCTAAGGAGTGCGTCCAGAAACATCCGTGACCTTTCCAAACAGTGTTATTTATGAGAGACACATTATTTTATTCCATAAATGAAACAATTATTTTCAGTCAGTGGATTTCTAAATCGTTCTTAGAAAACATCTGTCTTTACTGAAATGAAAAATATCAAATCTGCTGGCCTAGCATCTTACAGTACTCTCGATATCAGCCATTTTTAAGGCTCAAAGAATAGGTCTTCAAAAGGTATTTTCACCCAATTTCAGCAAACTGAGCATTTCAGATAATGGAAGGCTAATCATACTAAAGTACCGAAGCTTTGACTCCAGACGGATTTGCTAATTACTAATACCAAAAAACTAGGAGCAGGTGATACATAAAGTAGCCTCCCTAATGTCCAAGAGTATCATTAAATATTCCCCACAACAAACAATCCTTATTTGGAGAACAATTTTAGCACCACTATTAACATTTTTACTGCAATGTGAACAACACTGGGAATGATACTTGGCACAAAGTGCTTTCCATTCAATACCCAGCTTACTTTCTTGAACAATGTCTTCTAAATTCTTAATACGCATATGCACGCACACACACACACACACACGCTCACACGCACACAGCCAGCTCTTTTCCTGTTTGTTCCCATGAACATGATCTAGTTAGTGCCCAAAGAGGTGGGGTGTTTCAGGCAAGAGGAGGTTATATATAGGTACTGATGATAGGGCTGTATATAACAAATCCTTTTTTTTTTTTTTTTAATATTATGGTCGTAGTCTTTTCAGCATTGTATGTTCACATGCATTAAAGAAATAAAGTAAGCATACTAGTTATGACATATATCAAGATTAATTAAAACTGTACAGCTATCAAGTTTCACGCACTATAAATAATGCTACACAGCTTGGAAAAGTTTCCTTTTCTATAAAAGAAAGAGCTGGGATATCTGGGTTCCCCTAGAACACAAAGATGATTTGGACTCCAATTTCTGACTTTCTGACAGTCTTAGCCTCTCATTTTCTTCCCTTTAGCTCTCTGCTGTTCTTCTATCAAGGGTATGGCAATATAGTAAAAATAAGCATAAAGATTAATCTACAAACCAAAATAAAAACAAGCTTCATTAGCATTAATGGCTTGGAAGGAGAGAAGTACTTTGGAAAACACCTGCAAAGTACAAAAATTTGGTTGGCACATACAGGATTTGCTCTGTTCTTACACAATAAAGTAAGTTTTGGGTTAAAAAAAAAGTATGTTCTTCAATGCAGGGTAGATTATCTGATCTCTATGAAAAGGCAGAAATTTTTTTTCTCTCCTAATATTTAAAGTACCACTGTTCATCATTCTTAAATAATATACTGAACAAGCTCAGAGCAGAATAAATCAGCACAAAGTAATATACCTCTCCCAGGAAAAAGATTCCATATACACTGGGTCCTCGTTCTGGAATGAGAACAATCCTGTTCTAGCAGTTTTTTTGTTTTTTGGTTTTTTTTTTTTACAAAACATTGCTACGATACTCCCGAGTTTTTGGCAACAAACTTCCAATCAAGACTACTTGAGATTCTCAGGCAGAGGAACCCCAGAGGTGGCCCAGGTGTAGGTTTGCTAGTGTGAGACTTGACTCCCGTGGTTATCAACATCTCCAGGCTAACTATAGGGAAACAAGTATGAAGACTTTTCCTCCTCACGTCTTTTAAATACTATATTCATTCTCTATTGCTGCATAACAAATCACCACGAATTCAGAGGCTTAAAACAATACCTATTTATTATCTCACAGTTCTGCAGGCCAGAAGTCAGGGCGGGCTTGGTTCGAGTCCTCTGCATAGGATCTCACGAGGCTGGAGTCACGGTGTTGGCGGGGCTGGGCTCTCATCTGCTGGAGAAGACTCTAGTTGCAAGCTCCCTCAGTTTGTTGACTGATCGAGTTCCTGTGGCTGTAGGGCTGGAGGTCTGGGTCCTGTGGCTGTCGGCGGAGGCCTCTCTCAGCTCCTGACAAGCAACTGCATTTCTTCTCCTGGGGCCCCTCCATCTTAAATCAGCAGTGGTGCCTCGAGTCCTTCTGCTTTGAATCTGACTTATGCTACCAGCCTGAGAAAACTCTGCTTTTAAAGGGCTCACAGGGTTAGATTAGCTGAACATGATTATGGGTGAGATTCATGGCTTCCGCCCACACGCAAAAGGGGAGGATCTCATCTACGGTACCTGAAGGTCACCTGGAGAATGCTGGCTACTACAAATAGACAATGCCATTGATGAGAGCAATCACTCCAAACGTGCTGTTTCCGTATTAACCAAACTTGCCTTTGAGGACAGCACTGTTGGGAGACCACCTTTTGGTGACCATAACATCGAAAAGAAGCCTTCAGAACGTTGCTGAAGGTTTTGAAATAAGGACACCTTCTGCTGATCTGAAAAGCTGTACCTTTTCCAAAGACCTCTCCGTGGCTGAATTAATATACACACACGTGTCTACAGCCTGCGTGCCAAATCATCCGCGTGCACTTTTTCCAAAAGCTTTTCAATCTCACTGCCTGAAACCACTGTTCTTGTTTGGCGACACGGTAGGACCCTGTGCGTGTGTAAAGAGCACATGAGACTTAGAGAACTCAGAAATCTGGGGTCTTAGAATCCCAGAAACAGTCCTCAACCTTCTCACCTACAATAATCATCATCTGCACTGTGATATATTCTGCTTGTCTGCTTTTATCCTCCTTGTCAGAATTCATTACTCTGCTTTCGCCATTGTCCACATTAGCACTCCTTACACAGTGCTGTCCCAACAGAACCTTCTGCAATGACAGAAGGTTCTCTATCTGTGCCTTCCAGTCTGGGGGCCACGAGCCACATGTGGCTGATGAGCACTTGAACTGTAGCTAGTGTGACTAAGGAGGTGAAGGTTTTATTAATTTAAACTTAAACAGCCACTATGTGTCTACTAGCTACTGTACAGGACAGCATGGCTCTAGAGTTGACAGTTTATGTGAAATACATAACCAGATGCAAACCAGGTTTCATTTATCTCTATATATTACTAATTAAATACTGGACACCACTGGACACTGTCCCCACTCCCTATTCTGGTAAAAGTGGTTCAGTGTCTCTCGAGGCCAAGTCTATCCTTCCCTCAGTCCCAGGTACTCTTCACCTCCTCTACCATTCTGTCCCCAGACTTCACCCCCCAACTACTCTCAAGGGCTACCCCTACAGTGTCTTGCTTGAGGAAAGCATGGCTGTTTCTAATGGTCTAGAGAGGAAGTGGGGGCAGGGAGAGACCAACAAGATGATTGGGGAGCACCTGCTGCCCCAGGAGACAGATAGGAAGGATGAGTTACAGGCCTACCCCAGGAGCCTGAAGCCTGGTTGGTGGGAGAATGTGCGCACACACATACGCACACACTCGCCAGGAACAACCAAAAACTCGACAGCTGAGCGTGTACGTAAATGTGTGGCGAGGAACGTAGGGAGTTAAAAAGAAAGAGGAGTGTGGGCTGGACAGTTGGTCCCCTCGTACAGCCCCGGACTGGGCACCTGCCACATGCCAGGCACTATTCCTGGCACGACTAGGCACTGGTTAACACTTCATGGGAGGAGTGCACGAGAGAGTCTGTGAAAGGTGGGTGAGATTTGGCTCAAAGTTCAAAGTATTCTCAGGAACTGGAGGGGAGACCGAGCAGGAGAACAGGAAGAAGCTGGCTAGTATGGCTCACAAGTCTAAAGACTGAGCATCCCTCACTAAAGGCGAGGAGGTAACGGTCACCTCCCTGATCTTCAGCGCATGGTCCTTCTCCCCCAAATCAGAGTGGGCTACTGTGGAAGGGAAATGAGAGGCCTTCTCAACCCACTCCAGAGCTTTCCCTCCTGACACTTGGCTGGTGAGCAGTTAGCATGTTCAACAGCTGCCAAAGTTTTATAATGAAAGGTTATTCTTTTCAAATGAAATGGGCCTGTGTGCTCAGGCCAGGGAAATGTGAGGACAAAATAAAAAGTAAATTAAAGAAAGTGAAAAGTAAATCTAAAAAACCCAGTAAAAATGTTTCACTTGACTTGGACATAAAAATTATTCATGGCAATGTGTAACTTTTTAATCAAGGAAAGTAACTGATGATTCCAGTAGGAGTAATGGAAAGAACTGTACCCTATCCATGTTTCCCAACATTTTTCACTCCATCACACTGTACAGAAAACAAGGCTCACTGGAAGCTCTTTGTTCAGCATCCTGGGTAACCGCGGGAAGCTCCTCCTCTAGGTAAGGGGCAACTAGCCGGCACCTCCAGCCCCCCGAGGCCTCAGCCACTGGATAGTCCGAGAGCTCAGGGGATCAATCTCTGCACATCTCTCTGGAACCCACCTGCAACCTCCCGGAACTGATGCTGATCATTTCGGAACTTCTTAAAAGTAAAATACTTTTGTAAAGATCACTGATTGCTAAGGCTGATAGTATTTTTGTTTACAGTAGTAATAACATTTGGAATTGCATGATTAAGAGCAATAAGTACTCTTCAGATATGAATTTACCTGTAAGTTCATAATGCCAACAGAATAAATCATTTTGCAAAAACATACAACTGCTACAGTACCTCTCCCTAAAAACCAGTATTACAATTTTTTCTGTTAAATTCAATGACTTTGACTCATACAGTAACATTACCTAGAAAACGTCAGAACTCATTAAATGGGTGCAGATATAAAAGGATCAACAAGAGAGAATGCATCTAACTCATGGATCAAAGACACAGATTTAAAAAGAAAAAAGAGTTTGTCATTTTACACATCAGAGGAAATGAGTTGAGTCCATGATAATTTGGGTTGAATGCATGACCCCTGCACATTAAAATTTATCAGACTGATTTTTTACACCATAAACAGCATAATAAAATAACCCTCAAGAAGGACACTGGACTTTAAAATCTTGGCTTTAAGGAATGACAAATGCCTTTGAAAATATTTTGTTCAGAATCACTGCAATTATAAAAGTACTTCAGTTAGGAAATCAATCTAGAATCATTCTTAAATGGCAGTGCATTTGAAAAATGGCATTAATTTGTAATGTTTGCATTTCCAAAGAAAAATATAGAAAGAACTTAAAAAAGCAAGGTAACTTTTCAAAAAAAGTATTGATTCAAAAATTTACTGCACAAAAATATGTACTTCTTAAATGTTTCTAATAAATTAACTCCATAACATTTTTATGTATATTTATATATTTATATATATATAATCCCTGATAATCTATAAAAGAGGGCCTATAATAGTAAAATAAATGAACTTCAAAAGTACCCCCTTCATAAAATGTATTTAACATTAATTTTTCTCAAATTTAAGGAATGTAACAATATGTACAACTCTTATGTATAATACCAAAATAGTACAAGTCATATTAACAGCCTGTCATAACTGTAAAATGTTTGAGTCAAGTTAAAATTGGAGGACAGCTTAGGTTCGAATGAATGCAATTATCCATGGGAGGTTCACTTTCCAAGTGGAAATGACAATCATCTTATCTACAGTAGATTTCACAAGAGGTAGTGTTCAAGTAAAAAAAAAAAAAAGTACATGCTTAACTATCTTTAATTAACAAATTCACAGGAAAAAAATGTACTGGTTTCATAGCAGATGATCAGTTGCTGACTTTTTTAATATGAATCTGAAATACAAAATAACGAGAAGTACAATAAAGGCCTTATGCATAAAATCAAAATGTGGTACAAAACAACAACGTACCATCTAAGCTGTGTCACAGATCACACACATTGTCTTACCTCATTAAGAATGGCCCAAACGGCAGAATTCTGAATAACTGAAAGTCGAAAGGCTGAAATGGGGTTTAGACTGGGATCCACCATTCCTTCGGCAACACCATTCTCAAATTTCCCTTCAAAAGAAAAATCAAATGTGTTGGGTAGGCTGAAATTGGCACACATAAAATATCACGGACTTAAAACAGGGAAGAAAAACACCAAAACACTTCCAGTGGAGGTCATCAGACACAGCCTGGGTGAATTTTTCCCTTTCTACTTTTATTCAACGTTCAAATTTCTCCTGGAGTGTACGCTTACATTAGAAGCAGCCTATTAAAAGAGGCAGAGCTATATACTCCTTCTTACTGCAAATTAAATGTAACATTATATATAGAGAGATATATATACCTTTATCTATATATGTTCTTGCATCAAAAATATTTTAACACGCACGTTTTTAACAAATGTGATTTAACCAAAGTATATTCTGTACCATCTCTCAGTCCGACCCTTTGAGGGTTGTCAGTAATAACAAATTTCAGTGCTTTCAGACATACATACAATGGTTTGCCTCGAGCAGGGGCTCAATCTGTATGTATCCTTTCCCATATCACATCTAGAAGGGATTAAGAAGTGATACCTCCTCCAGGGGGTTCTAATAGAAAACTGCCATTACAAATGACAAGCTGAAAAAGCTCTCCTTAAGGATAGGACCAAGAAGTTCTATAAAAAGGTAGCATGTGCTGGGGGGAGGAGCAAGATGGCGGAGGAGTAGGAGACTTAAATTTCGTCTGGTCCCAGGAATTCAGCTAGATAGGGATCAAACCATTCTGAACACCAACGAACTCAACAGGAGATTGAAGAAAAGAATAGCAACTCTCTGAACAGAAAAGCGACCATTTTCTGGAAGGTCTCTTCTGTTTCTTTAGCGTATATTTTTCTGGGGTCGTTGTTACCCTGTTAGCATTTTGTTCTCTCACTCATCTACTCTCCTCTGGACAAAATGAAGGACAGAAAAAAATCACCTCAAAAAAAGAACAAGAGGCAGTACCGACTGCTAGGGACCTAATCAATATGGACATTAGTAAGATGTTGGAACTAGAGTTCAGAATGACGATTATAAAGACACTAGCTGGGCTTGAAAAAAAACATGGAAGATATTAGAGACACCCTTTCTGGAGAAATAAAAGAACTAAAATCTAACCAAGTTGAAATCAAAAAGGCTATTAATGAGGTGCAATAAAAAATGCAGGCTCTAACTGCTAGGATAAAGGAGGCAGAAAAGAGAATTGGTGGTATAGAAGACCAACTGATAGAAAATAAAGAAGATGAGAAAAAGAGAAACAACTACTGGATCACGAGAGCAGAATTCAAGAGATAAGTGATACCATAAGACGAAACAGTATTAGAATAATTGGGATCTCACAAGAAGAAGAAAGGGGGGGGCAGAAGGTACACTGCAGCAAATTATAGCAGAGAACTTCCCTAATTTGGGGAAGGAAACAGGCATCAAAATCCAGGAGGCGCAGACAACCCCACTGAAAATCAATAAAAATAGGTCAACACCCTGACATCTAATAGTAAAACTTACGAGTCTCAGAGATAGAGAAAATCCTCAAAGCAGCTCGGGACAAGAGATCTGTAACCTACAATGGTAGAAACATTAGATTGGCAACAGAGCTATCCCCAGAGACCTGGCAGGCCAGAAAGCACTGGCATGATATACCCAGAGCACTAAATGAGAAAAGTATGCAGTGAAGAATACTATATCCAGCTAGGCTGTCACTGAAAATAGAAGGAGAGATAAAAAGCTTCCAGGACAACAAGAACTAAAGGAATTTGCAAACACGAAACCAGCCCTACAAGAAATATTGAAAGGGGTCCTCTAAGCAAAGAGAGAGCCTAAAAGTAACATAGACCAGAAAGGAACACAGACAATATACAGTAACAGTCACCTTACAGGCAATACAATGGCACTAAATTCCTATCTTTCAATAGTTACCCTGAATGTAAATGGGCTAAATGCCCCAATCAAAAGACACAGGCCATCAGATTGGGTAAAAAAACAACACCCATCGATATGCTGTCTGCAAAAGACTCATTTTAGACCCAAAGACACCTCCAGATTGAAAGTGAGGGGGTGGAAAACCATTTACCATGCTAATGGACACCAAAAGAAAGCTGGGGTGGCAATCCTTATATCAGACAAAATTAGATGTTAAACCAAAGACTATAATAAGAGATGAGGAAGGACACTATATCCTACTTAAAGGGCCTATCCAACAAGGAGATCTAACAATTAATAAATATCTATGCCCCTAACATGGGATCAGCCAAGTATATAAGCCAATTAATAACAAAATCAAAGAAACACATGAACAACAATAATAGTGGGGGACTTTAACACCCCCCTCACTGAAATGGACAGATCATCTAAGCAAAAGATCAACAAGGAAATAAAGGCCTTAAACGACACACTGGACCAAATGGACTTCACAGACATATTCAGAACATTCCATCCCAAAGCAACAGAATACACATTCTTCTCTAGTGCTCATGGAACATTCTCCAAAATAGATCACATCCTAGGTCACAAATCAGTTCTCAACCGGTACCAAAAGATTGGGATCATTTCCTGCATATTTTCAGACCACAATGCTTTGAAACTAGAACTCAATGATAAGAGGAAAGTCAGAAAGAACTCAAATACATGGAGGCTAAAGAGCATCCTACTAAAAAATGAATAGGTCAACCAGGAAATTAAAGAAGAATTTAAAAAATTCATGGAAACAAAATGAAAACACAACTGTTCAAAATCTTTGGGATGCAGCAAAGGTGGTCTGAAGAGGAAAGGTTATAGCAATACAAGCCTTACTCAAGAAAGGTCTCAAATATACAACCTAACCCTACACCTAAAGGAACTGGAGAAAGAACAGCAAATAAAGCCTACACCCAGCAGGAGAAGAGAAATAATAAAGATCAGAGCACAAATCAATGAAATAGAAACCAAAAGAACAGTAGAACAGATCAACAAAACTACGAGCTGGTTCTTTGAAAGAATTAACAAGATTGATTAAACCCCTGGCCAGACTTATCAAAAAGAAAAGAGAAATGACCCAAATCAACAAAATCATGAATGGAAGAGGAGAGATCACAACCAACACCAAAGAAATACAAACAATTATAAGAACATATTATGGGCAACTATATGCCAGCAAATTAGATAATCTGGAAGAAATGGATGCATTTCTAGAGATGTATCAACGACCAAAACTGAACCAGGAAGAAACAGAAAACCTGAACATACCTATAACCGCTAAGGAAGTTGAAGCAGTCATCAAAAATCTCCCAACAAACAAGAGCCCAGGGCCAGACGGCTTCCCAGGGGAATTCTACCAAACATTTAAGAATTAATACCTATTCTTCTGAAACTGTTCCAAAAAGTAAAAATGGAAGGAAAACTTCCAAACTCGTTTTATGAGGCCAACATTACCTTGATCCCAAAACCAAAGAGCCCATCAAAAAGGAGAATTACAGACCAATATCCACGACGAACATGGATGCAAAAATTCTCACCAAAATACTAGCCAATAGGATCCAACAGTACATTAAAAGGATTATTCACCACGACCAAGTGGGATTTATTCCTGGGCTACAAGGTTGGTTCAACATCCACAAATCAGTGTGATACAATACATTAATAAAAGAAAGAACAAGAACCATATGATCCTCTCAATAGATGCAGAAAAAGCATTTGACAAAGTACAGCATCCTTTCTTGATCAAAACTCTTCAGAGTATAGGGATAGAGGGTACATACCTCAATATCATAAAAGCCATCTATGAAAAACCCACAGCGAATATCATTCTCAATGGAGAAAAACTGAGAGCTTTCCCCATAAGGTCAGGAAGACGGCAGGAATGTCCACTCTCACCACTGCTATTCAATATAGTACTAGAAGTCCTAGCCACAGCAATCAGACAACAAAAAGAAAGGAAAGGCATCTGAATCGGCAAAGAAGAAGTCAAACTCTCACTCTTTGCAGATGATATGATACTTTATGTGGAAATCCCAAAAGACTCCACCCCAAAACCGTTAGAACTCATACAGGAATTCAGTAAAGTGGCAGGATGTAAAATTAATGCACAGAAATCAGTGGCATTCCTATACACCAACAAGACAGAATAGAGAGAAATTAAGGAGTCGATCCCATTTACAACTGCACCCAAAACCATAAGATACCTAGGAATAAATCTAACCAAAGAGGCAAAAGATCCGTACTCAGAAAACTATAAAATACTCATGAAAGAAATTGAGGAAGACACAAAGAAATGGAAAAACATTCCATGCTCATGGATTGGAAGAACAAATATTGTGAAGATGTCAATGCCACCTAGAGAAAATGTGTAGAGAAATCTACACATTCAATGCAATCCCTATCAAAATACCATCAACTTCTTTCAAAGAAATGGAACAAATAATCCTAAAATTTGTATGGAACCAAAAAAGACCCCAAATAGCCAGAGGAATGTTGAAAAAGAAAACCAAAGCTGGCGGCATCACAATTCCAGACTTCAAGCTCTATTACAAAGCTGTAATCCTCAAGACAGTATGGGACTGGTACAAAAACAGACACATAGATCAATGGAACAGAATAGAGAGCCCAGAAATGAACCCTCAACTCTATGGTCAACTAATCTTCGACAAAGCAGGAAAGAATGTCCAGTGGAAAAAAGTCTCTTCAACAAATGGTGCTGGGAAAATTGGACAGCCACATGAAGAAGAAATGAAACGGAACCATTTCCTTACACCACACACAAAAATAGACTCAAAATGGTTGAAAGACCTAAATGTGACACAGGAGTCCATCAAAATCCTAGAGGAGAACACAGGCAGCAACATCTTCGACCTCAGCCGCAGCAACTTCTTCCTAGAAACATCGCCAAAGGCAAGGGAACCAAGGGCAAAAATGAACTATTGGGACTTCATCAAGATAAAAAGCTTTTGCACAGCAAAAGAAACAGTCAACAAAACCAAAAGACAACCGACAGAATGGGAGAAGATATTTGCAAATGACATATCAGATAAAGGGGTAGTATTCAAATTCTATAAAGAACTTATCAAACCCAACACC